TTCATAGCCTTGTTTGTAAACACGGATAAATCATATTTTAATTGTGGGTTTTCCCGATGTTGGTCCTTTGAATCTTTAATATTTTGAAGTTTGTCCCTTATCATTGAATTTCCTATTAAATTCCCCAAACCTTATAAATTATTTCAAATTAGCCCCTCCATTAGATTTTCCGTCCAATGTACTAACCTTGGTTGGATTAGTGTTTAACCAATGATGATTACTTACTCTTTTTTCACTCTTTTTTCACTCAATCAGTGCATCCCCTAAGTGACCAAATTATCCTCTCAATCACAGACTTGGGCGATGGGTTCTTTTTTTGAATGGACTGGAAAAAAGGGAAATTGGGTTTGTTGGGATTGGTGGAGAGAGAGAGAGAGAGAGAGAGGGAGAGGGAGAGAGAGAGAGAGAGAGAGAGAGAGAGAGGGGGGGAGAGGGCGGGGGGGGGGGAGAGAGAGAGAGAGAGAGAGAGAGAGAGGAGGAGAGAGGCCACGTAAGTTAAGTTGCAGGGAAACAGAACAATGATAAGTCGGGGGAGGGCCTAACTGATATTGCAGGGTTAACTTAAAATGAATATTCCCTCATCGAATCAAACAATAGAAAATTACAGGGACTAATTTGAAATAACTTATAAGATTTGGGGGGAGAGGGACCTGATAGCAATTTCAGTGATTTGCTGGGCTAATTTCAGAATTTTAAAGATTTGAGGGATTAATATGGAAAAAAAGCTTTTAATTGTTGGTTAAATGCAGTAAAACTGTCATAGTCATGTATTACAACTTTTTTACATTTAGCCACATGGAATCAGTTGCAAAGAGAATCTTGTCAAGGAATGTGAAGAAGAAGCAGGAATTCCAAGAACTATTTCTGCTAGGTATGTTGTCATTTCTGAAATAATTTCTCAGCCTATAGTTCTTTCTATAGCTCATATGACTCAAAGTCAAATTTTCGAATAGCATGTATAGTTAATTAGAAGAATAATGCTTGTTAATTCTCAATAATTAATCTGACAAGTATCCACTTATTTCCATGTTACAGTATATTCCTTGTTGCTCTACTAGTCTTTTTTATGAGTCGTGATTTGTGAGCAATTTAAAATTCCAGGAAAATATGTGAACCAATCAAGTAAGATGCGAAAATGCAGTTTCTCGGGCAACCACAAACTGGCTAAGGTGGAGCTGTTCAGGCAATAAATATAATCTTAACTTAAACTAATAATTAGACATGAAATTGATTTGAAGTTTAAAAGGCCGCATGGTGATCATGTCTGAACTCTGAATGGACAATTACATTATAATGCAAGCTACTTCTGTGAACATCTTCATCAATTTCACCATACTAAAATTTTGAACCTTTAATAGAAATGATTCTCATTTCACTCCCATCCCTTTCATCATGTTAGTTGAACACTGAACATTACATATACTTACTGCTGTTCTCATATACTTCTTACTCAACTGTCGCAGAGAAGTTAGTTCACTTATTTTCTTTCTACCTTTTCGTTCTACAGTGTGATGTCAAGGGGTTAATAGGCTGATTTCACCTGTTAATGCTTATGCATTATAATTCACCTGCTACTGCTTAATGCGCGCGCGTACACACACACATCTAGTCACGAGAAAGAACAGAATGCAAAGCAAAATTCAGCACCAAAATGTAATGTTTCTTGTTTCTTGCATTACATTCTGTTCTCTCTTGTGACTATATGCGTGTGTGTACATACATACATACGTATGTACATACACACATACACACACATAAGCAGATACATCTATACATGCATATTTCCAGTCCACTAAGTAGCGAACCATTCATGCTCCAACTATTGTTCAATGTGGATTGCCATTATGCTAATGAAATACATATTCTATTGACATGTTATTGCTTGTTGCTCGTGTCAGAACTGTGTGAGAATGAAAGTACGTACTCCAGAAGCTGTCACCTCACGTCATCTGATGGTTACACTTCGATACATCTGCAAACTCGTGGTGCTAACATTGATGTAGAGTTGTCTGATAATCTGTGCACTTGTTTCATGCCCACGCTAATAGAACAAAAAGAAAAAAGTTATTTCTTGAGCAGTTATATGTCTTATTTTCCACTATTTTACCAAATGCTTTAAAAATAGGCCGATTTTATCGATTTATTGCTGATATGTAGGGTTTGGGCCATGACCGATACGATTTTTGCAAAAACTTATAGCATATTGTTTTTGGTTGATTTGTCACGATATATCGGTGTAAATCCAATAAAGCAGCCGACTTCTCCTAGGTTAAAAATCGCCCGATTTTCTACAATTTGCATTTTAAGTGAACCGGTTCAGTTTTGGAGGCAAAACCCTCTTTTTTCCATACTTGGTCCGCATCCACTAAACAAAAAAAACGTGATATCCTATTCTATTTTACATCCGCTCATCGTGTAAGCTTAATTCTCTCTGTCTTCACTGTTCTCTCCCCCAAAGCGCGTGCAAATTTCTCACTCAGAGACCTCTATCGACGACCTCTCTCGAGGACCCTCTCTCGATATTTTATTAAATGTGCTTAGATTACATTTTAGGACATTATATTAAAAATGCTCACCATCCAACATGATACTCCGATTTTCACTACTTATCCCCAATAACAGGGATCTGATATGAATTTTGGCTGTCCGATATGTTTCCGATCACCAATATTGAAAACATTGATTTTACCTTCTGTTAAAATAACTCATTCATAAGAATTTCAAATATCTTTTATTGTGTAGGTCATTCAGATGCAGCTAATCATATGTGTTAATTAATCAACTCTAGTACTTATCTGAAGTTTATTCAGTTTAATTTTCTTCTATTTCTAGATATGTTGAATCTTACCCAATTTAGTTTGTGTTGACAGTGCAATCCCAGTTGGAGCAGTATCATATGTGGATATAGATGGATTCAGGTACAAGAGAGATGTGCTTTTCTGCTATGACTTAAAACTCCCTGCTGATTTTTCCCCTAAGAATGAAGGCAAGTCTAGTTTAAGAAAAGTCCTTTCGAACAGGAATTTTCCTATTTGGAATCGTAACTCTTCGTACTCTTGTGGGTTTTGGCTTCTTTCACAAACATTAACTCACATTTTCTCAAATAATTCATATTTCTCAATAATTCATATTGTGTTATGTATTTACATGTCTGGTTCTTAGGTATGCATGCTCTAAATTTGCTTAATGTTCAACAATTTGCAAGAATTAGTTAATGATTCAAACTTAGGTAGTTTGCATAGTCTCAGAACAGTCAGGAATCTGTGGGAATCTGTGCAATTTATGAGGATTAATCAGAAATGTTTCCGAAAGTATGGAAAAACGCCTTTTTCTTTCTCTTGATTTGCAGTAACTTGCTCTATTTCACCAATCTTGCTGAGGTATCCACCACAATATGTCTACTGTATTGGCCAGCAAACTTTTGATATTTATACTAAGAAAAGATTAAGGATAAACGATTGATGTCAAATATTCTTTTATTCTTAATTCTTATTCTTAGTTAAGAGATCAGCTAGATGAGCATAATCTTGTTTCATTAACTTAAACCTTCCGCTTAATGCAACATGTTTGGACGTTGGAGATGTACAGAATATTGTTGATACTAGTTAAAGTAAATACAAATAGGTGAAATTCATGGGTTTCAGAAATCACGGATAGCATGTAATGGAGAATTTTTTCAAATGTGTCTTTGCCTATTTTCTTTTACTTTCTTATTTCTCGGAATATGATTTTCTATCAATTCAGCTTAGTGATCTCCTTGCATATGTTTGTTGGAACTTTTTTTCATTATCATGCTTAACTTATCTTTTTGCAGATGGTGAAGTTGATAGCTTCAGATTGGTCCCGTTGACTCATGTCGCAAATATCATTAGGAGGACAGAATTCTTTAAGCCAAATTGTTGCCTTGTCATTATTGATTTTCTCTTTCGGCATGGGTACTTGCCCAAAACTTTCTTTTTTGTGTACTTACGGTTTTATTTAAATAAGGTCTTATTATATTAGTTGATCTACCGAAGGATTAGCAGTTGAAACTTCATGTTGCAATCTGGTCATTATTTTATTTTTGGGATACGTGTTGAATACCACATTATGTTGCAATCTGCCCAAATTGTTGACCTTTGTTGATACGTGTTGAATACCACATTAAACAATCATTTCCTCGTGTCTTATCTTTTAATTTTCTATGTGCAGGTATATAAGTCCGGATGATTGTGGTTACTTAGAGTTGCTGCAGAGTTTAAGACGCGGGAATTGCTCCTGACGTTATCCCTTCCTTAAGGTGAATCAAATAAAATTACTTAGCATTATATTTTGTTACTTTCTCAGTGGCTATCTGGTTGTGTTAATCACCATTTGTTCATTAGGTTACATGCTGAATAACCGCGGTGTTTGAAGCTCTCCAACTACGTGAATCACAACTTTTGTCATTATCATCAGGTTCGACCCGATGGAAACACTTCAAAGCTCGTGATTTTTGTGGATTTTTTGTTAATTTGGTTTGTTTTGACCCAATAAAAAAAAGTAAGTATGCGTACACTGAAGTTCATGTTTTTTTGTTAATTTTGTTGTTTATAACCCAAATCATGGTGTATGTTATTTGCTAATTATATAGTAGGTGAGGGGATTAGAGAAGGGATAATTTCTAAAGTGGAGAAGTGGAGGCAAACTCTCAAAACTAATGGTCTTAAAATTAGTGGACCAAGAACAAAATACTAAACACAGAAAAGAGTTTATCGTATGTATTGATGGTCAAGAACAATCCAAAAGTTATGGCTCAATAAATTTGCATTTGTTTAAAATGAAACAAAGCTAATAAAATTGAGGGTTATAACCCATCAAAATAATTAATTTTCATTTGCTTAAAATGAACCAAAATTGATAAATAAAATGGGTTAGCTCTTGAAAAGTGTTCATTTTAATGTGCACCTAATAAATTTGTATTAGTTCGAAACAAATGAAAATTAAAAAAAAAAAATCATGGATCATAACTTATGATAATTATGAATTTTGATGCACACAGAATAAGCTTTCGTTCATTCCAAAAAGATAAAAATTGACAAAAATAGTTGTTTATCGTGCATAAAAATCACAATTTTTATGGATAATAAATTTACATTCATTCAAAACTGACTATAATTGACTAAAATTGTGGGTTTGCTCATGAAAATCACAAATCTTGATGTACACAATAAATTTAGATTCCTTAAAAAAGAACCAAAACTGATAAATATTAGGGGTTATAGCCCATAAAATTATGAGTTTTGATGTATAGACAATTGATTTACATTTGTTCAAAACAAATCAAAATTGATAAAATATTTAGATTATAACTCATGAAAAACATTTTTAATGTACATATAATTAAAAATCCTTCATTTAAAATGAATAAAAATTGACAAAACGACAAATTTTGATGTATAAATAATTAATTTATAGTTTTTTAACCAAAGTTCATTGGTTACCTCATGAAAATAAAAAAAAATTAGTGTACACATCAAATTTGCAGTCATTCGAAATAAACAGAAATTGACAAAAATCGTGGATTATATCTCATGAAAATAAAAAAAATTCTAATGTACACATAGCAAATTTGCACTCATTCGAAACGAGCAAATAAAAAATCATTCAAAACAAAAAAAAGTAAAAAATTATGGATTATACCTCATGAAAATAAAAGATTCTACTGTACACATAGCAAATGTAACAAATCGCGGGTTATACCTTATGAAAATTGTGAATTTTGTAGTACACATAATAAATTTGCATTCTTTCAAAGCAAATAAATATTGATAAAAATCTTAGGTTATAATGCATGAAAATCATAGGTTATTGTCCATGAAATTATAATTTTTGATGTACAAACATTTAGTTACATTTGTTTAAAAACAAACCAAAATTGATAAAAAAGTGGTGATAGCTCATGAAAAATGTGATATTTTATGTGAACATAATAAACTTGTATTCGCTTGAAACGAACAAAAATTGAAACAAAACTTGGGGTGTGACTCATAAAAATCGCAATTTTTTATGTACACAGACTAAATTTCATTCGTAATGCAAAAATTGACCAAAATTAAGAGTTATAGCCCAAAAATGATGAATTTTGATATAGACAATTAAGTTATGTATGTTCAAGACTAACCATAATTGACAAAAATCGGAAGTTATACCTCATGAAAATTGGAAATATTATGAACACAATAAAGTTGCATTCGTTCTGAATGAATCAAAACTAACAAAATCATGAGTTATAGCTTATAAAATTTTTGATTTTAATATATAGACAATTAATTCACATTCGTTCAAAACTAACCTAAATTGACAAAAATCATGGGTTAGCCCATGAAAGTCATGAATTTTCGTGTATAGATAATTAATTTATATTTATTTTAAATAAACTAAAATTAATAAAATTCTGGATTTATAGCTCCTGAAAAAGCAAATTTTGTTGTACACTAAACATATTTGCATCCGTTCAAAACGAACAAAAACTAACAAAAATCGTGGGTTATAGCCCATTAAAATCGTGAATTTTGATGTATCAATAATTAATTTATATTTGTTCAAAATGAATGAAAAATTACAAAGAACATGGTTTATAGCCCTTGAAAAATATTTATTTTAATGTGCACATAATAAATTTGCATTTAATTGAAACAAACAAAATCTTTTTAAAAAAGTCATGGTTGTAGCCGGTGATAATTACAAATTTTAAAGTACACAATAAACTTGCATTCGTTCGAAAAGAACAAAAATTTAAAAAAATCGTGGATTATAGCCTATGAAAATTACAAACATTATTGTACAAACAATTAAATTACATCTATTCAAAGCTAACCATATTTGACAAAAATTGTGGGTTATAAGTTTGTATATAACTCATTAAAATCATAAATTTTGATGTAACAAATAATTGTAACAGATTCTAGTTATAACTCATAAAAATCATGAATTGTGTTACCTGTAATAAATTTGTATATAATTCGAAATGAGCCGAAATTGATAAACTTGTGTTGTAACCTATGAATCACAATTTTTTTTTGTACACAATAAATTTGCATGTTGAAAACAAAACTCAGCTGATAAAAATCGTGAGTTATGACGCATGAAAATTGTGAATTTGATGTGTAGACAATTTATTATATTTTTTCAAAATGAATCAAAATCAAAATTGATAAAAAACATGAGTTGTAGATTATGCAAAATGTGAATTTTAACGTGCACATAATTTTGTAGTCATTCAATACGATTAAAAGTTTATACAAATTATGTGTTATAGCTCATGAAATTGATAAATTTTAATTTACACATAATGAAATTTCCTTCATCCGAAATGAAAAAAAAATTAAAAAATTATGGATTATAGCTTTGAAAAATGTGAATTTTGTTGTATAGACAATTAACTTACATTCATTAAAAAAACTATAACAAATCATGTGTTATAGCTCATAAAAATTATGATTTTTAAAGTACACTTAATAATTTTACTTTTATTTAAAATAAATAAATATTGACAAAAATTGTGAGTTATACTGCATGAATATAAAAATTTTTTACCATATACAAAATAAATTTGTAGTCATTCAAAATGAACAAAAATTATAAAAAATCATGGGTAATAGCTCAGGAAATCATGAATATTAATGTGTACTAATAAATTTGCTTTCCTTTGAAAAAAAACTTTGGGTTATATCTCATGGAAATCAAACATTTTAATGTAAACATGGTAAATTTATAGTCACTCAAATTGAAAAATAATTGTAATAAATTATGGGTTATAGCTCATGAAAAATCAAGAATTTTATAAAACACATATTGAATTTGTATTCATTCAGAATAAACAAAAATTAACAAAAATCATGGGTTGCCCATGAAAATTGTGAATTTTAATCTATAGACAGTTAACATTCCTTCAACACTAACCAATATTGTGGGCTATATCTAATGAAATTTGCAAGTTGTAATTGTATAGACAATTTATTTACATTTGTTCAAAATTAACCAAAATTGACAAAAAAGTGGGTCATTGCTCATGAAAAATGTGAAGTTTATGTGCACATAAAAAAATTTGCATTCGTTTGAAACGAATGAAAATTGAAAAAAAAATTTATAGGTTTTATCTCATAAAATTGTGAATTTAGATGTATTAAAATTAATTCCTATATGTTTACACTGGATAAAAATTGGTAAAAATCATGGGTTAGAACTATTGAAAATTGTTAATTTTGATACGCATTAGATTTGCATGCGTTTGAAAAGAACAAAAATTTATAAAAATCCGAGATTGTAGCCCATGAAAATCTCATATTTTAATGTATAAACAATTAATTTATATTGATTTAAATAGACTAAAACTGTGGGTTATAGCACATGAAACTCGCAAATTTTAATGTACATAATAAATTTGTAGTCAATTTTAACAAATCGTGGGCTACAACTCTTTAATATTGAAAATTCTGAGTTACACATAATAAATTTGCATTCATTTGAAACGAACAAAATTGGGTTATGCTTTATGAAAAATAAGTTTTCATGTAAATAAGTTTGCACTTATTTAAAATGCACAATAATTGTTACAAATCATAGGTTTATAGCTTATGAATATCATGAATTTTGCAATACACATAATAAATTTGCATTTATTCGGAATGAGAGAAAATTGACAAATTCGTGGGTTATAGTTTATGAAAATCGTGAATTTTGATATATAGACAATTAATGTCTATTCATTCGAACCTAATTAAAATTGACATAAAGCGTGTGTTAGCTCATAAAAATTGGAAATTTAAATGTACTGGCAATAAATTTGCATTCATTCAAAACTAATTGTAATTGAAAAAATCATAGTTTATGACTAACGAAAATTAAAAATTTTGATGTACAAACAATTAATTACATTCATTTAAAACGAATCAAAATTCACAAAAGCGTGGGTTATATATAGCTCATGAAAATATGTGAATTTTGATATGCATATAATAAATTTTGCATTCATTTGAAACTAATAGAAATTGTATAATACATTTGCATTCATTTGAAACTAATAAAAATTGACAAAAATCATGAGCTATTACTCATAAAAGTAACAAATTCTAATGTACACATAACAAAATTTCCTTTATTCGAAATGAAAAATGGACAAAAATCCATGGTTATAGCCCTTAAAAATTATGAATTTTGATGTATAAACAATTAATTTACTCATGTTTAAAATAAATAAAAAATGATAAAAATTGTGAGTTATAACTCATAAAAATCGCAAAGTTCAATAGACCTAATAAATTTGTAGTATATTGAAATGAACAAAAAGTGACACAAATCGTGGGCTATAGTTGATTAAAATCGTGAATTTTGATGTACACTTAACAATTTTGCATTTGTTCGAAACAAAAAATAATTGAAAAAATTCATGGACTATACCTCATAAAGCTAAAAAAAATTAATGGACACATAATAAATTTGCATCCATTCGAAATGAACAAAAATTGTAACAAATTGTGGGTTTTAACTCATTAAAATAATGAATATTGCAGTAGACATAATGAATTTGTATTCATTCGAAACGAACAGATGTTGATGAAAGCTATGAGTTATAACTCATGAAAATTAAAATTTTAGTGTATAGACCATTA